TTCTGAGCTTTAGGTGGCCTTCCACCCTTCTGGAAACTATCTCTCTTATGCTTTCCAAAGATGCAGTCCTCGCAAACACCAACCTCCATGGAATCGATGCCGGTTAGCTTCCCCTATGAATGTAGAATCTTCATCCCCTTCTCGTTCATGTGTCCCAATCTATTGTGCCACAGATCTGTACTCTTTTTGCTAGCTGCAATTACGAGGATGTTACTCGCATGTGAGGTGAGGTAGAGAGTTACTATTTTGTTGCCTCGGGCAACAATCATAGTACCGTTTGAGATCCTCCACGAATCCCCAGTGAATTTCAAAACATAGCCTTCTGCTCCAAGCTGGCCAACCGAAATAAGATTTCTCTTCAGCTTTGGTATGTGCCTCACGTTCTTCAGATTCCACTTAGAGCCCTTCAACTATATTTGCACATCTCCTCTTCCAACAACACTACAGGGTTTATTATCCCCTAAGTATACTTTCCCAAAGTCTCCTGATACATAGTTAAGAAAAAGCTTCCTATTAGCAGTGACGTGGAACAAGGCTCCTGAGTTGATGACCTAAGAATCAGAATCGCTATTCATAGTAAGGATCAATGCATCCTGCACGAGATGAGCCTCCTGCTCATTCTCGTCCTTCTTTTGTGCTTTACACGCTGAAGACATATGGCCCTCCTGGCCGTAGTTCTAATACTTTCCTTTGATAGGTCTAACTTTTGAGTCCAACCTCTTCTTTGTTCACTTCGACCAATTCCTATTCTGATTACCCTTCTTCTGGCTTCTGCCTCTCTGCTCGAGATTTAGGGCTGAACCTGAACCTTCTGATTCGGACGATTTTCTTCTAACCTCCTCAGATAGAATCATGCTAACAACCCGCTCAGTTTCAACTTGTCCTTCCCTACTGAATTATTGGTTATCATTACACAACCTGCCTAACTATCCGGCAACTGCGATAGAATCAATAGGGCTTACACTTCATCATCGAATGTGATGTATCCGGAGATGAGTTGATCAACAATCGTGTTGAACTCGCTGAGGTGCATTATGATGGAGCGTCCTTCTACCATCTTGAGATTGAAGAGTGTCTTGACGAGATGCACCTTGCTTGTGGTAGACAGTTGCTCGTACATCTTCGTGAGCACTTACATAAGCCCCACTGTCATCTTCTTCTTCAATATGTTGTGTGAGACTGTCTTGGTGAGCGACAACCAAATTTACCCTAGAGCCTTCCTATTCAGTATCTCTCAATCCTCGTCTGACTCTTCTTTCTTTTTTCCCTTAGCCTTGCCCATCAACGGGTGATACAAGTCTTTCTGGTAGAGATAGTCCTCCATTTATGACTTCCAGTAGGCAATGTCTGAACCGTGAAACTTCTCGATCTTAGATTTGTTTTCCTCTGTCATGGCTCTCTCACAATCCTTCTGAACAAAGCTCTGATACCAGTTATTAGGGATTCAAAATAATCAAATCGAACCCTTACCCTTCCGGACCTTGTGTTTGAGAGTAGAAAAGTAGGAAAAATCACAGCATATAAAAGATAAAAAACTTACAGGAAAGCAAACAAGAAAGAACACACCAAATTTAACGAGGTTTGACAATCGTGCTTACGTCCTCGGGAGCCACACCATACAATTCTTTGATTAATATTAAAGAAGATTACAATACCCACAAATAGGATCTAATCTCTCTGAGATCTCTTTAAAAAATTCTCTCAAAACCCTCTTTTTCTAATGTATAATCTCTTCTAAGGTTGTTTGATGGAAAATTTAAAGTAAAAAAAATGAAGGAAAATTGATCTGTATTCCTTTAATCTCAGTTATAATTGGATTTTCTGATTACAAAAAAGAGGAGAATGATCTGAATTCTCCCCTTTGTTTAAAACTGGGTTCTTCACGGTAGTGATGGAGTGCCTCCCTCAAATGCTCACGTCGAGTTTGCTCTCCATTGACGATCCGAACATCTTGATTCACTAGAACGTGGTCTTCTCCTCACGATTTGACGTTGTGGAGAACTTGCGTGGTAAGTTTTAGAACTCTGAACGAGTTTGAAACTCTATGAAAGAGTTGATTTAGCCGAAATCGGTCTATAAGCTAAGGATGAAGAAAGCTCCTGTTGCTGATCTCCAAAACTCCAGTAATTCCCCCCAAGATCTCTTCTTTGTTGTCCAAGAGAAGGCTCCAGCTCCAGGATCCGAACTAAGCTGATTTCTTAGTTATTTATAAGGGATTAAGGGGTGTAACTGTCCCCTTAATTCTCTCCTAAGTGGGGCTAATGGGATGTAACCGTCCCTTAAATCATTCATGAGTGGAGTTGTGATCCCCTTAGATCGTGGAAAATGGTTTTGAAACCGTTCAGCTTGTGTTTGAACGAGTCAAACGTAAAATCCGCGTTCTGGCATGAATTCTGCGTTCAAACACAGCGTCTGGAAGCTCGTTTGCAGCGTCTGGAAGCTGTGTTGGCATCTTGTTAGAAGCTGTGTTTGGTAGCTTGGAAGCTGTGTTTGGCAGCGAAAAGAAGCTGCGAAGCTGCGTTTGGCAACGGATGGAAGTTGCGTTTGGTAGTGGATGGAAGCTGCGTTTGCAGCTTTCGGAGGCTGCGTTTGCGTTGCGTTAGTGGCCGAGCTTGAGTTGCGTCAACGGCTAAAAGTGCTGTGTCTTGATGCTGGTACGCGGGGAGGACTTCCGCGTCTTGGTTTGAAGAGACCGTCGATTTGTAGTCTCTTTCTGTCAGAGCGTTGCAAAGATCGTCATTTTGTAATCTTTGCTTTCGCTCTTTCATATGTGAGAGTCGTCAGATTGTAACTCCCAATGTTGATTGTGAAGGCTGTTGATTAGAGCTTTCATCAGTTGTTGTGAAGATCATCAGATTATAACCTTCATCAATTTACATGAAAGTCTTTAAATTATAGCCTTCTGGAAGCCGTCAAATTATAACTTCCATCATTGGTATTTGATGGGGATCAGCTATCTGCAGTGATTTTTAGACAGCCTACAAAGGTGTTCCATATATATAAAAAAACTAAAACCAAAACAGACTAGGAATTCTAAAACCAAAAACCAAAATAAATTAGGAATCTTAATAACCTGTTACCAAAACAAATTAAGAATCCTGTTACCAAAACAGATTAAGAAACCTGTTACCAAAACAAATTAGAAAACCTACTATCCAACAATTTGTTTGATTCCATCTTTGAGTCTACATCCCTTAGACTAACACTATAGTCAATCGACTGATCGTGTTTTTCTAGCCGACGGCTAGTTTTGAGATTTTGGGGCTATAAATGCCCCTTTTGCCTTGGTTTTTTTACAAGAGTTTTTAACAATGTTTTGGACTGTTTATCTCAAGTTTTTGAAGATCAAAATTCGTTTATGTGAAGAGGTTTTCACAAGAGAAGGAATTCAAATTTTAAGTTTGAGACTTTCATCCTCAACATCTTCATCTCTTGTTTAGAGAAGTTTTCTAACTCTTTAATCTAGCTCATTTTCATTTTGATTCTTATATATATATTTGCTAGATTAATTTGAGTTTGATTTTGTTGTTTCTCATTTATTGCACACACAACTCACTTGAGCTTTTAGTATTTCATATATAGTATATTTGGGTTGTGATTAAGTCCTTGAGAGTGAGCTTACAATTAGTTCTCATCTTGTTTAGAGAACAAATCATTTTTACTTGTGCTTTTATTGTTGAGATCACATTGTAATACACAAGGACACCGAGAGGAGTGGTTGGTGAGAGACGAGATCAATTCCAAGAGGAGTGGCGTCGGTAGGAAATCCTAGGGTGATGTTATAATTTCGAGTACTTAAAGAAGTTAATACGGACTAGGCCAACATTTAGAGAGTGTATTGTGTGATTGCAATTGTATGTTGTAAACGTTTACCGATGAGCGTTGAAAACTGATTGTGTAGTTATTTGAGTTAATAGTGGAGATTCTCCTTGAGGATCAGGAGAGGAGACGTAGGCCGAGGGTGACCAAACTCCGTGATCATATTGTGCGTTTGTGTTTGTTTTTGGCATACTCTTTTATTTGGCTCTTATTGCTCATATCTTATACTCATTGTTTATATCGCCTTTGTTTATTACGTATACTTACAAATAACTTATTGAATATCATATTTGCTTGGGTAAATTGTTAATAAGTTTTAATTTGATATTGTAATCGGATTAGATTAGCAAATACCTTATTCACTCCCCTCTAGGGTAATTTCACGTAATAACCCAAATTACAAAATGGGGGCAAATATATATATCTTGAGTTTTTTCGTCACGTGAATTTGTTAAACAACATTATATTTAACCAAAAGAACATGTTGATGTTAGTTATCAAACATGTAATAATTTGTAGATTTTTGGAATGATTAAGATTCTCTAACTCCTTCTGGTATATGGCTCTGGGCTTTTTGTTCTTCCATGCACAAGAAAGAACTCGTAAGAGGCTGGAGTTGGATTCTTCGGTTGTTCCTCTGAAGATCAAGTCAGTAGATGATTTTGAGTGGAAAATATAGAGTTAGCTATTAGTTGGGTCCAAAAAGACCAGAGAGAGTTATCTCGTGTAGTTTTTCTCCTTTTTTATAGTGGATCCGAGGGTCAAAAAGGTAACTTTGGCCAAGTCCAGCTAGGTAACTTAGTCGGCAAACATGTGCTATGCGTCGGTTGTTGAGGGATGTGAGTCACCTGGTCATTTATTATGAGAACGACAGTAGGTGCTCAGTGCTGACTGGATCCAATGAGTCATAAAGACTATGGGAGCTAGAGAAATGATGACTTTGTCAGAACAGTTAATGCAAGGACATGCGGCACTTTGTTTCTCATGAGGCCCGTTTGGATTTCAAGATTGATTTACCTATACACTCTGAGTTGAGTCGACCGTCCTGATATTGACACATGTCTTTTTCATGGTCTATATATATCTCTTCACTGTGAATGATAATCTTTCTACAGCTTGAGCCCTATCTTATTCTCAATTTTTCTTCTTAGACGAGCTTGCATTTGATCTCCAGATCTGCAATGGACTTCAACGCTCCCACTTTCGATCACAACGAGATGAGGATTGACCTTTTTTGCCCCTTCCACTTAAAGCTCTGTGTGATGGAGCTCAAAGATTACTATGAGCACTTCGATCTTCTAGGCCCTTTACTCTATCAGTGCTGGAGACAGCAACCGGTGTATCATCATGGTGGCGATAGGTTGCCTATGTATTTGAAGTACTTGGAGTATAGGCTCTGGCTACCCCTCCATCCCTTCATCCCCTAGACTTGCGAGGCTTTGGGGGTCTCTCCAATACAGTTTGTGCCCAACTCCATCGCCACTTTAGTTGGATTCAAGGTGATCTATCATGGGGACATAGTAGATCTAAGTCTATGTCTGTTCGACCACTTCATTAGTGTTAATACTATGAAGAATGAGAGACACTACTTCTTCCAGAACATGGTCGGCTTTAAGACTATGTCGAATATCTCTGATTTGAACAAGGATTAGAAAGAGAGGTTCATGTGGGTCTTTGGTGCTGACCCCATATTGTCCTATTCCACGTTGTTGGAGATCAGGAAAGAGATGTTGAAGCCGAGCTTGCTTTCAGTTGAGGAGGGACAACAACTAGAGAAGATCAAGAACTATGCTGGGTCTCTGGAGATTAGTAATCTCTTTAAGACATCTTCACTTCGTGTGGCTAGCGTATCTAGAGTTCCTCCTACCAAAGCTGACTCCATTCGGGTGGCGGTCTTAGCTCTCCCATTGAAGAAGAACCCACTGAAGAATCTGAAGGGGGAGGATTTGACTACTGTGAAGCGGGGTTTAACTATGAGGCCCTATGTAGGCTGTCTAAAAATCACAATAGATAGCTGATCCTCATCAAAACACCGATGATGGAAGTTACACTCTGACAACTTCCAGAAGGTTTTAATTTGAAGACTTTCACGTAGACTGATGAAGGTTACAATCTGACGATCTTTGCAACAACCGATGAAATCTCTAATCAACAGCCTCCACAATCAACATCAGGAGTTACAATCTGACGACTCTCACATATCAAAGAGCTAAAGCAAAGATTACAAAACGACGATCTTTGCAACGTTCTGACAGAAAGAGACTACAAGCAAAGATTACAAAACGACGATCTTTGCAACGTTCTGACAGAAAGAGACTACAAATCGACGGTCTCTTTAAACCAAGACGTGGAAGTCCTCCTCGCGTACCAGCTTCAAGATGCACCACGTTCATAGACACGAACGTAACTCAGATGCAGCTTCTAACGCTGCCAACGCAGCTTCCAAATCGCTGCAAACGCAGCTCAGACGCAGCTTCCAACGCTGCCAATGTAGCTTCCAAATCGCTGCAAACGCAGCTCAGACGCAGCTTCCAACGCTACCAACGCAGCTTCTAAATCGCTGCAAACGCGGCTCATGTTCGGCCGCAAACACAACATCTAACTTCTGCCAACGCAGCTTTTAACAGCTGCCAACGCAGGTTCCATCTGCTGCCCAACGCAGCTCGCAAACACTGCGTTCAAACACAGATTTCATTCCAGAATGCAGGATTTGCGTTTGACTCATTCAGACACGAGCTGAACGGTTTCACAACCGTCTCCCACGATCTGAGGGGATCACAACTCCACTCAGGAGTGATTTAAGGGGCGGTTACATCCCATTAGCCCCACTTAGGAGCGAATTAAGGGGGCGGTTACACCCCTTAATCCTCTATAAATAACTAAGAAATCAACTTAGTTCGGGGCTGAATCTTTGGGGCTAGATTTTGGAGGCTGGGCTTTTTGGATCCGGCTCTGGGGTAGCAAAGAAGAGATCCTTGGCTTGTCTAACCAATTACGATTAAGATCAATCAACTCATCAAGAGTTCTAAAACTTGCTTTGTAAGTTCTCCACAGCGTCAAATCATGAGGAGGAGATACCGTTCCAGTGAATCAAGACGTGCGGATCGTCAACGAGAAGCAAACTCGACGCAAACATTCGAGGGAGGCATCTCATCGCTACCGTGAAGAACCCAGAATTAAACAAAGGGGAGAATCCAGATCATTCTCCTCTCTTTTGTAATCAGGAAATCCAATTGTAACTGAGATTAAAAGAATACAAATCAATTTTCTTTCAATCCTTTTATTACAAATTTTCCCGCAAACAAAAGATGGTGACTCCGCTGGGGACTAGCTTCTCTGACGAAGAAGTGGTGGCGTAATCCGATGTTCATCTCACTGGAACAACCGTCGAAACTCTCATGGTAGAGTTTGATCAAGCCAAGTTTGAGGAGGCCCTCTCCTCCGGATCCCTTAGCCCCAAGGCTATGCGCAAGATCCACAAAGTCTCCAAAGAGACTAAAGCTCCAACTGCTCCAATTGCAGCCGAACCGCCTAAGGAAGACTGCTCAGACAGCCCCTCCCCCGATGGAGTGGGCTCAGCTTCAGCCAAACCCGTGCCAAGACGACGGGTATCAGGTCGAAAGATGCCTATTGAGGCGACAAACTTGATCAACACAGATGGTGACGTTGCTACAAAAGCCTTGAAGCAGGCTAAGAAGAATGTCGCTCGACGCAGGAGGAGATCCCTACGACGAGCACATCTCCAAGAATGTTGATCCTTAAGTCAACACGAGCTTCGTGTTTGTGAGCCTAAACGCGACCCTGTTTCTGTTTCAGAGCACAAGCCTCGCGTCTATGAGCCAAAACATAGGCTCTGTGTGAATAAAATTGAACGCAGCCCTAAATGGTGCGTTATACAATCGAAACGTAAAGCTCAGGCATGCATTACTGAGCCAGAATGCAACCCTCAAAGGAGCGTTACAAAACAAAAACGCAGGTCTCCAGACCGCATTAACCATCCTGAACGCAGTCCTCAGCAAAGCATTCCAGAATCCAAATGCGGACATCAGACATGCGTTCGGGTAAGGAAACCCAATATAGAACCTGGTGTATATTGTGGAGCTTCGGGGAGCTGTCCCGAACCCCGTCGGGGGGTATTCGGCGCGCCCCCCCCTGGACCCCCGGCTTGCTGACCGGGCAGCGAGACCCCCGAATACTCTGCGTAGCGCGACTAGATTGAGGGGCGGATGTCAAAAGTCCATGGATTCAAGGCATCTCAACCAGATCCATGTTCACAAAGAGCCAGTCATGTCCAATCATGGACTGGGGGTTCCAATTCAAATCTCATGATCAGTGAGTAATTCTTCTCGAGTCTTTGTAACAGATTTGAGAAAGTTCATATCGAGAGAAAGACCGATGCAACAAGTCATTCGTTCATTTCAATGTGAACGGTTGATTCCTACGGTCCTCTCGGGTTGTCAATGCTGCTCATATGCGGCCAAACTGTTGGTGTTCGACCAATTTATGAACGTTGATTTGCCCAACCAACGACGACGTTCTCACAGGAAGAAGTCTCCAGAGACTGAATATCCTGGGGTCACTATCAATGTAATCGGCAGAGGGAAAGCCTTAGGTCCTAGTTCCGATGACTCTGAGACAAGTCGTTCACCGATCGTCAGAGAAATCGCTAATGAGTTTGAAGGAGTTTACCAACGCACTCGGACGCGAATAGGAGCCATTCTCCCTATCAACTATCGGAGGCTAGCTAGAGGAACCAATTTCGATGATGAACACTCAGCTATTGCAGAGTCCCAATCATCAAGCTCTTTTGTTGAACATGAAAGCTCCGCTTATATGACGAAAAACCATGAAGATCTCGCGAAGAGACTTGATGAGCAGGAGGCCATGCTCAAATCTCAGCAGGAGGCCATCAATGAACTCATGGCCCTATTGAATCAACTCATCGCAGACAAGGCCAAATCTCAGGAGATAGATTCGCCACCTAGGCAAGAATCTTCCAGGAGAGAAAAACCGTCTTCATCCCGACCTCACACAAGCAAAGGAAAGAGAAAAGTGGTTGATGGTGCTGCTTCTGATCAAGAAGCCCACAACCTGGAATCTTCCTCTGATGAAGCAAAAGAGACTGAGAATGAGCAGAATCTCCAGTCTGCCAAAATGAAAGAATTGGAAGCCCGTCTCAATATCATTGCTAACAGAAGCGAGCTCTAAGATGAGGGAATTGTCAGGCCCTATTCTGCCGAATGGGATGCAGCCCCTTATACTCCAAAATTTGAGGTCCCGACGCTACAAACTTTTGACGGAACGGGATCACCGAACCAACATATCTATCATTTCAAGTCACAGACTGGGAATATGATATCAAACGACGCCATACTGGTTCGATTGTTTATTGGCACCCTCAAGGGAGTTCCCTTTGAATGGTTCAGGAAACTGCCTGCAGGATGTATCCAAAAGTGGACGGATCTAGAGAGACTCTTCCTATCAAGATTCTTTGAAGATGATACAGAAGTCTCCATTCATACCCTTCTCGCCGCTAAGCAGAAGAAGAGGGAGTCCGTCAAAGCCTTCGTCAAGAGGTTCCGAACCATGGCTCTCCGGTGTTCGTCAGGTATGACATAATCTACCTTAGTAGAGACCTGTCGGCACAACTTGCAGACCGACCTCCTAGCCTGAATAGGAGTTACAGAATAGCGTTCTTGGAGACAACTAATCTCTTAAGGCGAACAAGCTCAAAAAATTATTGCCAGGATCAAAGCTGAAGAATAAAGTAGGCAGGATCAACCTGAGCAATCGGACCAAGCCCAATCTTCTCAGTCAGAAGGGGAAGATACTACGGCCACTTAAGCTAATTCTCTTCAGTAGGATAGCGGGTCCACCAAAACTATCACGTTAATGATCACCTTTGATAGTCAATTTCTTCCAAATTCCCCCGTCAATCCTCTTCAATAGGATGGCGGGTCCATCAAAACTATCACGTTAATGATCACCTCTGATAGTCAAATTCTTCCAAATTCCTCCTGCCAATCCTCTTCAATAGGATGACAGGTCCCCAAAACTATCACGTTAATGATCACCTCTGATAGTCAATTTCTTCCAAATTCCTCCTGCCAATCCTCTTCAATAGGATAACAGGTCCACAAAACTATCACGTTAATGATCACCTCTGATAGTCAATTTCTTCCAAATTCCCCCACCAATCCTCTTTAATAGGATGGCGGGTCCACCAAAACTATCACGTTAACATTTACCTCTGATAGTCCATTCCCTCTAAATTCTCCTGTCAATCCTCTTCAATAGGATGGCATGTCCACAAAACTATCACGTTAATATTTACCTCTGATAGTCCATTAACTTGCCAATCTTCTTCAATAGGATGACAGGTTCACCAAAACTATCAAGTTAACAGTTACCTCTGATAGTCCATCAACTTGCCAATCTTCTTAAATAGGATGGTAGGCCCACAAAACTATCACGTTAATATTTACCTCTGATAGTCCATCAACTTGCCAATCCTCTTCAATAGGATGACAGGTCCACAAAACTATCACGTTAATAGTTACATCTGATAGTCAAACTCATCAGATAATGGCCTACCAGGTGATGTGCCCCTATTCCGACTTCATGGATAGTGCCCCACTAGGTGATGTGCCTTGTCTATCTCTTTTTATTCCCCTGTTAAGTCTTAATCAAGACTGGGGGTTGGTTACTTGGAATCCACTAGATTAAGAGTAACGAATCTTTTACATCGTCGAGTTAATATTATACTTCTGACGATCATCACCCCCACGGAGTATGAATTCACTTGGCATCGCTCCCAATTTGTCACGTTAATAATATACCTCTGACAATCAACTTATCAATCATCTTTAATAGGATGATAGGTCCTCAAAATTGCTCAAATCGCTATCTTTCCCAGCAAGACACTAAGTCTTCAAAATCTTAGTATCAAAATTCATCGCTTCTGGTGATAAGCTCACCTAGCAAGTTTCCCCAGCGATACGCTAATTCCCAAAATCTTGCGTAAGTCACAAGTACACATTCTCCAGTCACGTTAATATCACATCTCTGACAATCCACTTATCAATCATCTTCAATAGGATGATAAGTCCACAAAGTTGCTCTTATCGCAACGTCTTCCTGTCACGTTAATATCACACCTCTGACAAAATTAACTTATCGACTCTCCTCAATAGAGCGATAGGTCCTCAACGTTGCTCCGATCGCAACACCTCTAACTTATCGACTCTCCTCAATAGAGCGATAGGTCCTCAACGTTGCTCAGATCGCAACACCTCTAACTTATCGACTCTCGTCAATAGAGCGATAGGTCCTCAACGTTGCTCCGATCACAACACCTCTAACTTATCGACTCACGTTAATAGAGCGATAGGTCCTCAACGTTGCTCCGATCGCAACACCTCTAACTTATCGACTCTCGTCAATAGCGCGATAGGTCCTCAACGTTGCTCCGATCGCAACACCTCTAACTTATCGACTCACGTCAATAGAGCGATAGGTCCTCAAAGTTGCTCTGATCGTAACACTTCCAACTTATCGACTCTCCTCAATAGAGCGATAGGTCCTCAAAGTTGCCCTGATCGCAATATCTTCCTGTCACGTTAATATCACACCTCTGAAAAAATTCACTTATCAATCTTCTTCAATAGGATGATAAGTCCATAAAGTTGCTCCGATCGTAACAAATTCCCGTCATGTTAACACCAAACCTCTGACAATCCACTTATCAATCCTCTTCAATAGGATGATAAGTCCACAAAGTTACTCCGATCGCAACATTTTCTTGTCACGTTAATCATATACCTCTGACAAAATCAACTTATCGACTCTCTTCAATGGAGCGATAGGTCCACAAACCCGTCAAGTTAATATCACACCTCTGACGACACAATCAACTTATCGACTCTCTTCAATAGAGCGATAGGTCCATAAAATACTGTTAGGTTAACATCACACCTCTAACAGTCAAACCCCCCCAATGAACTTGTTAATCCTTTTTCAACAAGAATAGCAAGTTTTCATTGTAAAATCCCCAGTGGATTAGAGATTTTCTGAAATTATCCCAGTGATAATAAAGAAAGTTTCTGAATTTCACTCTAAGTAAAAATTCATGCCAAGTTAATACTACACATCTGGCACTTCTAATTTTCTTTCAGTGTTTCAAGTGAAAATATAACACAGGAAGAAACAGTGGCAAAGTCTACGTATTCAACATCGTAACACAAAAAATCCATGTCTTACACGTATGGGGGACTTTATCTCGATCCCTAATTAGAGATAAGCCTACGCCTAACACGCGTTGCCGGTTAGTCTTTTCCCGTAAAAATAACAAAGTCTATGTATTCAAAATTATAGCATCAAGTCTAGGAAGGTTCATTCTCTTAGCACAACGTTACATGTGAAACGGACTTAAACAATCCACATGCTAGCCCGACTCAAACGGTAGTCGGTAAAGGCTTATCAAATCCGTTGATGGCTGAGGGTTTGCCAAAAATCCTATGCACGTTTGCAGGCCCATCAGTTTAATGGATGTGAGCCGAGACTTAAAACAGATGAGCAAAAGACAAGTCTCAAAGACTTAGTCAAAAATGCACGGAAGCCACTTTCATGTCTTAAGTCAAAACATTGAGGTCAGACCCGTGATGCAAAAACCAAACGCTGAGGTCACACCCGTGTTCCAAATTCAACATGCAAGGGTGAGACCCGCATCTCAAGTTCAAAATGCAGGGTCCACCCCCCACATTCCAGAAGCAGGATTATGGCGCATACCTTCACACAGGTCCTACATGGCAAATCCCTTCAACCAAGATGCCTTCGAAGCAAGTGCAGAGAACAAATCCTTTACCACAAGGAATCAACAGCTCCAAGATCAGAGTTGAGATCCAAAGTATTCCGAAAATTCGTCCCAGTCAACCGCGAACTTTCGAAAACTTTGGAGGGGATTCTGTAGGCTGTCTAAAAATCACAATAGATAGCTGCTGTGACGCCCCTGGGTTCACATTTGGATGATGAGGTTTATATGGAGCAACCTCCTGGGTATGTTGCTCAAGGGGAGAATATTATCTGCAGGCTGCGAAAGGCCATCTATGGGTTAAAACAGAGTCATCGAGCTTTGTTTGATAAGTTCAGCAAGGTTATTTTTAGTGTTGGATTCTAACATTATCAGTCTGATCACTCTGTCTTTCTTCGACGCACAACAACTGGTTTGGTTATTTTAGCTGTATATGTTGATGATATTCTACTGACTGGGAGTGACTCTGTTGCCTTAGCAGAGACTAAGGAGTATCTAAACTGTCATTTTGTCACTAAGGACATGGGAAAGCCAAAGTGTTTTCTTGGGATTGAAGTTACATATCAAAGACATGGCATGTTGTTGTCTCAAAGGAATTATGTACTAGATTTACTAGAAGAAGCAGGTCTCTTGGGATGCAAACTTGCAAGCACTCCAATGGAGGCAAATATTGATTTTTGGCGTGATGATACCTCTCTGCTAGATGATGATGGACGATACAGGAGACTGATTGGGAAGCTAATATATTTGATAGTTATCAGACCTGATATTACCTTTGCAGTAGGTGTACTGAGCAGGTTCATACACAAACCTAAAGTGGTTCATTGGACAGCAGCTCTGAAGATTTTGGCATATGTCAAGATTTGTCCTGGTAAGGGATTGCTATATAAGAAGTATGAGCATACTCACATTTTTGCTTTCTCTGATGCTGGCTACGCAGGAGACATGGGAGACCGAAAGTCAACCTCAGGATTCTGTACTTTTGTTGGAGGTAATCTTGTGACTTGGAAAAGCAAGAAATAAGATGTAATATCACGGTCTAGTGCAGAGGTCGAATATAGAGCAATGGCTCACACTGCTTGTGAGATGGTGTGGCTACGAAAGTTTTATGATAAAACTTGGTTTTGTTCAGCCTGGACCCATGCCAATGCATTATGACAATCAGTCTGCCATTTATATTACACAGAATCTTGTATTTCATGAGAGGACAAAACATATTGAAGTTGACTGTAATTTTGTCAGAGATACTTGGGAGAAGAAGATAGTGTCTCTCATATTCACTCCATCCTCACAGCAACTTGCTGATATGCTTACCAATGCTACTTCTTCAAAGGTGTTCTTTACTATATGTGACAAGCTGGGCATGGTGGATATCTATGCTCCAGCTTGAGGAGGAGTGTTAAATTAAGCCTATTGTTTATTGGGTTAATAGGATGTGACCCGTTAACTATAATCCTATTTGTATGGCTATATAAATCTCTCTTTTTATCTTAATGAATAACAATTAGGGTTTGCTCTCTATTATCTCTTTCTACAATTAATATTCCTGAGACTAGTTGTTTATTAAAAGTATATTTTTGTTTCAATTTCGTATCCTGCTGACTAAGGTAACTATCCAGACACAGGGCAAAACATGGAGCATATTAAAATTTACATCAAAAGATAAATACCCTTTATAGTAGACTTGGAAAGGAAAATTAAAACTCTTTGTATGTGCATAGTTTGCAATAGAAATTTTGCTCGACAAATTATATAATAGGATCTTGACGTGCAGTTTCTCATAGCCGTAATACTGCCACTAGAAGAAAAATCACCAACCTAGATGGAGGTTCCTAGATGGAAAATTTTCAGTTTAGAATGCCCTCATGCTAGATGGATAACTGTTGTCTAGGATGCTCCGTCTAGGATGAGGCACCGTCTAGGATGCTTCATCCTAAACAGAAACATCCTAGACGGAGTATCCTAGACGATACTCCGTTTATGATGAGCAAACTGGATGGAATTGTGCCCATCCTAGATAGAATCTTCCGTCGAGGATGCACTTTTTTCTTGTTACTACTATTCCTATCAAACAAATAAGCTCCTACAGTTTCCCCTATTTTATGAAGCCATCATATAAGAAACTAGGGAACGAACCTAGATCCACCATATACTGCCCCAGATTTTGCATTGATTAAGGGGATGAACAAAATCTGTATAAATGATCTTGGAACATGCACATGGTCACCACGAACCTCCTTTGAACCCTTTAAACTTGGGCAATTGCTCATTTCTCTATATATACACGTATTTACCTTGTCACGATAAAAATATACACCCTTTCCATTTCCTGTTCTTCCTTGTTACTTTGCAACACTTTCTTCCTTCTTCCTCATCTTCCACTGAGTTTCTATTGAGCATCCCAAAGGCATATGTGCACAGGCTTATTGGCTCTGTCTTCTGGTTGTTCAAGTGATTTAAAGTTTCTAATGCCAGATTTTCTCGTTTTTTTTCTTTGTCTCCATAATTATTTTTGTAACAAATCTGATAGGTAAGTTGAGATCAAATGCTTCTTTCTCTTTTAGATCAATTTTTCATTTTTTTTGTTTTCAATTTCTCCCGCTTCCCTCTTTGATCTTCAATCCTTGCGTTTATAACCAAGGAGACCGGGGATGCTCCGCGAGTTCGTTTATAATGCCATTGTAGATAGTAAACTGTGTTTGCAACAATCTTACTATTTACCCAACTCCAGTGTAAAGACTTTGTTGAAGTAGGCTAATAGCAATATTAGTACTGAGTCTACTGACCATTTGTCATCAAAACCCTAATCAGAGCTTCTGAAATTTAGTGCATGTTCAATTTATAATGCCATTGTAGAGCTTGGATTCATTTTGATGGAAGTGTCTTTTGGTATTGTAAACTTCTTTCTATCATTAATATATTTGCATATTTTTTGCTCAGTCACGTGACTTCCTTGTGATGGAATATGGCATGGATACTGTTGCCAGACATTTTTTTTTTAAACTCTGTAGCATTTCTTTATTGTGGCTTAAATGTTATGAAATTTGCACAATCTTCACTAGTTATTTCTTCATAATCAAAGTACCAGAAGACCCAAGAGCTTTGTCCACGAGCTCTGCTCTATATGATTCTTCTCTAGCCGTTGCCTTGAGAAAATGCAAAAATATTGGTAAAGGCCAAAGACTGGAATGTACTAATGTAATCCAAAAGATACACAACAAACCAAGTAAATTAGATAGAGACAAATAGAGATTGCCTCTGCTCTCTCAAGCAATGAGTACACTTGTTTAACTTGAGACAAGCAACAAAAACAACATAGAAGAAGACACCAGGTCCCTTAAACAAAGAGACCTACAAGACACTAGAAAACACCAGCATAACAAACAAAATTGGATAAAGACAGAAGGAAAATGTAGATACAAAACAAGGTTAGGATGGAAAACCCCACATTTTATTTTATTTATTGTTTCTTAACTTTTAGCTGTATAGTTGCAATGTTATTTAATTCAATTTTTGTTCCAATGTTGTCATTAAAAACTTTTAATTGAAGCATCAGCAGCAGGCAACATAAACAGTACAATATTATTATAGAACCTTTAAACTAATGAGCCAATTTATACATGTGAACTAACTGACATCATTGTAAGGAATACTAGATGAAATTGTTAGAAACAAACTTATTTTGTAAACCAAAACAAGAAACTTAATTTAATTTTAGCTGTAGGGTTACAATGTTATTTAATTTAATTTGTGTTCCAATGTTGTCATTGAAAACTTTTAATTGAAGCATCGACAGGCAACATAAACAGTACAATATGATTATAGAACCTTCAAACTAATATGCCAATTTATACATGAGAACTAACTGACATCATTGTAAGGAATACTAGATGAAATTGTTAGAAACAAACTTGTTTTGTAAACCAAAACAAGAAATTTAATTTCTCTAGTTGAAAATTCTAGAACTGAAAACTTCTGTAGATGATGACAAAGCATGGAAGTATTGCTTCAGGATGAAACACAAGCAACTCATCCAAACTAGAGTAAACTCCTATATTACTAGAAACCGAGTCAAATTCCTCTAAATTGCCTTCTTCGTTCTTCTTCTTCACTCTCCCCGCAATCACTCTGCACACAAGCATTGCTCGTTCTTCTCCATCTTCTTCGATTTTAGCAGCATCGTGTGCTTGCCCACTAGTGGCCATTGTTCTGATTTTACCAAGCTCATCAAGCTTAAACCCATCTTTTATAATGCTGCAAAGTTTGCAACTTTGAACTGAGATGCAGAGGCCTGTAGATCCGCTGTGACCGAGGAAGCAGCTGAAAGAGGTGCAATAGAACCTTAGGAGCTCATTTCCATCTGCAATGCATCTTTGGTGCTTCCTTGTGAGCTTATTTGCTTTGGTTTTTATGGAGTCTCTGTAGGATTCAAATTCTGTGAATGTTTTCTGAGAGTGTCGAATTTTGAGGATTCTCTCAATTTTGCATGTTGGAGGTTTTTCCTTCAGCCAGCTTGATTTGAAGATGATTTCTACAATTTTACAGCTGGTGCCTTCAGATTCGAGTTCTGATACTGAATTAGGAAAATGAATGGAGTGAGGTCTCAGATTGAAATAATTGCTCAGATGTTAAAAATTGAGGAACATTAGCTAGGAAAAAACAAAAAGAAATAATAGATATGGGACACAAAAGATTCGATACATTGTTTTAGCTGTAAAAAAAACAGTGGAAAGGATTGTACACTGTTGACAACTAGTTTTACTATATATGGTCAAAATTTTAAATAAATAGAGAGGAAGATTTCTAATGAACAAAAAATTGATGGAGAATTGTATTACTTAAGTGTGAAGCAAATTAGGTAATACAAACTAAAAAGAAAGAACAGAAATTTAGGTAATTGACTGACTTAAGTGTGAAGTAAATTAGGTAATACAAACTAAAAATGAAAGAACAGGAAATTGAAAGCAAGGATATTGATTGGGGACTACTTTGTTTATGCCTAGAAAAATATTTTGTGAAAATATCCCCACAATCTGTTTGCTATTATTAGGAAGTAACAAACCATAAATTAACATGACATAAAGAGAGAGACAAAACAGAGATAAAAATTTTACCTGCATGTTTAACTGCTTGATGGACCTCTAAACTTACTGATTTTGTGAAAATCTCCCCACAATCAGAGCAAGGAAAGGCACCACTTACAAGAGAAGGCACCTTTGAGACCCCATTTGACTCATAACACCCTGAAAACTTCCTTAAATGCATTCCTCTAAAAGGCCCACCAAGTGAAGATGAAGAAGAAGAAGAAGTTATCGAAACCGATAAATTATTATTTGATGAAGAAGCAGAGAAAGAAGAGGAGGAGGAAGAAGTCCCTTCAACATTTTCACAATTTTCTTGCATCACCTTAGAGCTCTCTCTTGAGTTACAGAGAGAACTAGACCACCCTATTTTCCTCACTATTTTCTTCTTCTTCTTCTTCTCAACTTCGACTGCAGTTTCATGATATTTGCATGAGAAGAAGCTTCTAAAGCCTTGCTTATGGCTTTTGCGAGAATTTCTATTGGTGGGTTTTCTAGAGTCCATTGATTTTGATAATGGAGAAGAGAGTTGGATTGGAGCTTTGGAGATTTTGCTCCTCTCAATGGGAGGGGGCATCTTTGAAATTTGTTTGGGAAGAACAGTGATGGGCTCTACTGTATTATATTGTTGAGGCTGGAGAAGAATGTTTCCCTCTTTTATTCGCTTTTGCGGTTTAATTTTTGATTTCTTGCTTATTATAAAATCTTATCTTAACAGGGGTTAACCAATTAATTAGTGATAAAGAATGCGAGTGAATAATCATTTGGTCTTGAATAAAGATAGATTCTCACACTATCATCTTAATGATCTTGAAAATGAAGTAATTAGTGTCTAGAGTCATTAAGAAAAGCGTTGGGTCCCCAGTAGGCATGATTAGGCTCACTTAATGTGGAGACATTAGCCCATAATTACCATCCTGTGCGGTCAAGCATTCAAACTTTGGTTCCATGGTGGTCACGGGAGTTTTGATTCTAACGAAGAACAAAATAAACAGAAAAAAAAATTCTCTCAAATGAAGAAGATAGATTTAATAAACATAATAAATAGGTTCAACAATATAACAAAAGTGGAAATTCCCTGTTGCTTGGTTGGTGAGGGGGCAAAAAATCACGAAAACGGACTACAGAGAGAGCCAAAAAAAAACAAAAAACAAAAAACAAAAAATTTTAATGACGAAGAAAAATTTATAAGTGGCAGTACCCAAACCATATGCATGGTTGGCCAGAAAGTGTTATACGTACGCATTTCCTGAACAAATATAAATAGGAACTTTTTTTAAAAATATACCGATTTTGCTAAATATTTAGCAAAATCGATCATTTTGCTAAATATTTAGCAAAATCAACCTCTTTTTTGCCAACAAGTCAAAAAAAGTCGATTTTAAAAAACGCCCAGCTGAAAACATACGGGACTACTGCTCCCGTATGTTTTCAAGGGCACTAATCACCGATTAGTGCTCACAGAAAACATATGGGACTAGTAGTCCCGTATGATTTCTGGGAGCTCTTTGGTGTTCAACAAAACGTACAGGACTAGTAGTCCCGTACGTAAAGCAGAAACTCCTCGGCTCAGATCTACGAGACTACTAGTCCCGTAGAAAAGTCGACCAATTTAAACAGTTGTGCCCTAAATTTGGGCACAACCGCTATTCCTCCCAAACTCATCTCTCGAGTTCTCTCTCCCGATCTCACTCTCAATCTCTTGATCTTCTCTCTCCCAAACCCATCTCACTCCCTCCTAAACCCATTGAACTCTCTCCCAAACCCGATTGCCACACTCAAACCTGATCTCCATCCCTTCTAAACCCGATCTTCATCTCTCCCAAACCCGTTCTCTCTCTCACCCAAATCCAACTCACCCCTCTCCTCCCTCAAATCCGATGTCGTCTATTATCTCCGACGCCGACGCCGTCTGTACTCTCCGACGCCCACGAGATCCGAAATTTCATCAAGGTAACAATTTCATATTTTTCATAAATTTCTCTATTTTGTTTAGTTACACGAGATCCGAAATTTCATCAAGGTAACAATTTCATATTTTTCATAAATTTCTCTATTTTGTTTAGTTAATATTGTATATCTAGAGGTATATCTAGAGGATTTCATATTTTTCATAAATTTCTCTATTTTGTTTAGTTAATATTGTATATCTAGAGGTATATCTAGAGGTAATAATTAATTATGATCATCAATTTATAAAATATCTAATTTCTATACGTTAAATTTTAATTCTTCAGTTAAAATGGCGAATGGAATTCTGATTATTTGCTTATTCAATGGGAAATTGAGTGTTGGAATGAATAATTGCCTATATATGACAAAGGCTCTAGAAAAATGTTCATGTTGTCTAGAAATTATAATTTCGATGGAATGATTGAGCAAATATACAAAGTTACCAGAATTAATCATGCCGAAAATGCCATTAAGGTCTTCTGTTGTTGTCCAATAAATGAAAAAAGAACAATTGCTGTAGAGATCACCACTGATGAAGAATTGAATGACATGATACAACTTGCGGATAAACAAATCGCAATTGAGTTATTCATTAAAAATGTTCCAAAGTATGGGGTTGTCGAAGTTTCGTATGCTCACGGAGAGTTCTCTCGCATGCTTGAAAGTCAAATCTTGTTATCTCAAAGTGCCTTGCACTTAAAAAATGACTCAGGTGCAATGTCAAGTGACATGTTTCACAACGCATCGGGTCATGTTTCAGTTGATTTACCGATTGGTGGTTCTATAATAAAAGAGGACGGATATATAGATGCTGATGATGATAGTGAAGATGTTGAGTCCGAGGAGGAACGTCTTGATAGTATGCAGTTCGTAATTGGAGAGAACAATGATGACGCAAGTTAGATGAATGAATATTGTGTGAACAACGATTATGTAGAGTCTAAAGAACCGTTGTCCGAAGAGTTTAAAAATGACAAGTGGATAAATAACTCACAAGGTGAGTTAGTTGAGCCTGGTCCTAATTTTGATCTACCCGATGATATCACTTTTAAAAAAAGGAGATCTATTCGAGAATAAGGAAAGGTTAATTTTCGCTATACGTGAATGGGCAATTAGGAACCAGATCAAATTCAAGCCGGTGAAATTAAATACAACTAGCTACCATGTAAGTGCTACTTCAATGAGAAATATCAAGCCTCTTCTACAAGTTCTGCATACGATAGAAATTTAAAATGTCCATGGAAGCTTAATGCAGGTGTTAAGAAAAAATCTAACGGTCAATTTATGATCTCAAGTTATTGCGAACTTCATACATGTTGCAATTTGACTGTCTCTAATGATCATAAAACAGCAACTTCCGTTTATATCATGAAGCTAATTATGCCCGAAGTTAGGCGAGAATTTGATCTTACTCCAAGACAGATAATTACAACGGTTCGTGTTATGAAAGGCATAACTATATCCAAGTTTAAAGCATATGATGCACGAAGGAAGGCGTTGACTAAAATCTTTGGAGATTGGGAAGAATCTTACCAAAAACTTCCACATTATCTTGCAGCAATTAAGAGAAAAAATTTGGGTACCGAATATGAGATAGTGTCTAAGGAGATCGCGCCGGAAATAGAGAGGTTCATCCGGGTATTTTGGGCATTTGGGCCCGCTATCAAAGGATTCTCTTTTTGTCGTCCGCTCTTAAGCATTGATGGAACACATTTATATGGTAAATACAAAGGAGTGCTCTTGGTTGTGACCAGTGTAGATGCAAACGGTGGGCTATTTCCAATAGCTTTCACAGTTGTGGAGGTGGAGGATACATCGAGTTAGAAGTGGTTTTTTCAGTGTATTTACAAATACATTCTAACTGTTCAAATTCTAAGAGTTGTTACCTTTATTTCTGACCTAATGAAAGGAATTCCACGAGCCTGGCATGAGGGGTGGAATGCAGCACGTCATCACCGTTATTGCTTGCGGCATATAAAAGCTAATTTTAAGAGAAAACATGGAGAGGTCAATTTACAAAATTTATTGTGGCAAGCCGGATGTACTACTGACTCACTTGTATATGAGCATTATAGAGAGAAAATTAAATCCCTATCAGTTGAAGCACACAATTGGATTGAACAAAACTTGAAGCTTCAATACGAAGATCGATAGACATTATGTAAAAATGGTGGAGTACGTTATTGTATGATGACGACTAATTACTCTGAAAGTTTTAATGGTATACTTAAGGGTGCACGTGCTATCCAATTAGTGCCTTAGTTGCAAGGACGTTTTATAGATTGAACGCATACTTTAATAAGAGACGGAGTGATGGTGCAAATTGGACGAGTAAGTACACTCCAAAAAATAAGTTAATATTGCAGAAAAGGGTTGTGGCTGTAAGAACATGTAGAATTGAACCATTCAACGATAATGAATGGGAGGTCATTGCAGAAAAGGGTTGTGGCTGTAAGAACATGTAGAATTGAACCATTCAACGATAATGAATGGGAGGTCAAGGATCATGATGGCACTTACACCGTTCATCTCTATGACCAAGATGGTAGGTCTCATGTTATGAGCCTACATCTTCAAATCTTATTTTGATGATTACAAACAATTCCTAATATTATTTGTCTAGTGTTTATGTTTTCTTATTAGGTATTCTAGACAAAAAATAAGTTTAGAGGTTGGATGGATTGCGCCATAACGATCATATCAAATGGAGGTTGGCGGAAATTGTGGAGTGAAGCATATGCATACTAGTCAAGATCCAAGTTCAAGCTTCTTCCATATTTACCAAGACAAGCTACAATGAAGATCTATCAAGCTTGGGTAAATTAAGTTTAGGATTTATATAATGTGTGTTAATTCTATAAGCTCAAATATACACACACATTACATTTGTGAATTTTCATGAAAATATGTGTTTTTATGCAAAATACATTCAAATATGTTTTAGTCTATACAAGCCATGTTAACATCTTTTATTATGTCCATAAAACGATTACACAAGTTTTCAAAACTTGTTTTGAGCTAAAATGGTAAAAACAACATATTTGAAAAACATGTATTTTAGCACTTTTGAATATTTCTGATTTTTCACAAATGGTAAGAGTAATTTGAAAAATTCATTTTCCAACATGTTCATATTCATGATAATAAACTTTTCTCAAAGTTTTATATTTTTTAGAATTTATTTGCTATTTTTTAAAGCTCTTCAAAGTTAGTTTTTACTATTCAATACAGGTTGAAAATCTGTTATCAGTCGAGTGATCAGTCGACTGAAGAATATATCTATAATCTTCAAAAGTTTATGTTCTGTTTTGGTCGACTGACCAGTCGACTAATGATCTATCAGTCGAGTGATAAAGACAGTCAGTCGACTGATGAGCTATCTGACGCCTACAACGGTCAGCTCATCAGTCGACTAATGCTTTCCGTTAGTCGACTGATAAGTCATAACGACTATTTTTCTAGTCTTCTATTTTTTATCTTTTTGCTGGATTTTCTTGGATTTTGAGCTTTAGTTTTTCATCCTATATATACCCCTCACTATTTTAGTTCTGAGTCAGTTTTTAAGAGGGTTTTTAACAAGAGTTTTAAGTGTTTAAAAGTTTATTTCTCAAGTTTAAGTTTGGTGTTTGAGTTTACAAAGAGGAGGCTTGTATTTTC